AATGTGTCTGGTACTGACTGTAGAGCTACAACTTCAGAAACATTAATGAAGGTTCAGATTGAAATGATCAAGCTATAGAGGAGAGGTTGGGTTTTTCTTTAATTTAACGTATGGCCCAGATGATCATGAAGTCTGAAAAACTTTCAGGAAGAAATGTATTCCTCAAAACTGATTCCTGCTTTGTTTTAAGCATTGGATGAGGCCAGTTCTATTTACCATGGCAGAAACTTGCCCTGTTTAGGCTCTTGTTCTCTCCCAGAGAGAACGTTTGCAGTGGAAGGCAGTGACTTCTCAAATTTATCTGTTTTTAATGGATCTTCTTTGATGGGGCTTTCTTTAAAAATACCCTTAGGTGAATAGGTATGATAAAGTATCTTACTCCTTGTATGGCAGGGGGGAAAAAAGCTATGTAAAAATGACTAGTATCTCTAAGCACTTTAGGATAGAATTGAAAGCATTTATTTTGTAGTATTTTGCTCATTCACAGAAAGCAAGAGGCCTGTAAGGTGGCAGAGGTACGTTCTGTAGCCTTACGTTGCTGACAAGATGCTTGTCTGGCAATTGATGATTCCAGTTGCTCTTTTTGAATGGGAAAAGCTGTGCACTTAGTTTTCTGGTGCTATTTTGTAGGGGCTTTTTGTGGAAAGGTGCCTCTGTCATAATGGGCTGTTGGTTTGGGGGGAATTTTCAGCCTCTAGCAGAACAGGGTGAAATGACTTGGTCTCTTTCAGTGCCCTTTTGCTGTTTCTGCCAGAAAAGCACACCTCCCTGAAATCCGGACTGTTGCAAGTCTGTGAAAGGTGATATGGTTACTGTCCCTACCTGCTGTATCCAAAGTTGTTCATTCTCTTGCCCCATCCTGCCCTGAATTGTTAGCAGGCATTTGTGCTTTTGTATCAACCACTAGACTTAGAAAAGGCTTTGTAATAAAGCAGCCAGCAAAAGCAGAATTTCAGAACAGGCAGTTGGAGGGGAAGAGCGAAGTTTATTGCTTCTCTGACCCAGTTGTGAGCTGCTATGCTTAGAAGCAGTATGTAGTGATGAGAATCAGCTGAGCCCTAATAGTAGAAGTGACTATCCCCCATTGCACAGGCCCAAATTTGGAAAAGCCATTTGTTTAATATTTCAGCAAGTGTTTCATAACAGCACTTAAAGTGCTGTTAGTATGTTCTAGATGCTTTTTGGCTTTAGTATTAAAAGTTTTAATGGTTTAATCATATGTACTTGAGGCAAACTCTTCCTGTATGCCTCCAGTTATAGGCAGCTTGCTATGAATTGTGCTGGACAATATCTATTTCAACTATCCTTCAAGATGAAGGAGAATTATATAGAACCACCCTCCAGCAGCAGAGTCTGCAGTGAAATTAGTGATTTTTTTAATAAGTTGTCAACTAATTGGCAAAACTTTGGGTTGTATGGAATGATGGGGGACTCTGCAGTATTAGTGCATCGTTTGACAACTGTCTCTTGTATGCGTGCTAGATTGCTCTTTAGTAGCTTGGTCTTGAGTTACTGGAAAGCTGTGTGACTTTAGCAATAAAAGATAGTGGTTCTAGATCTCTTCCCTGAATGATGTCTTGATTGTAGCTACAACTACAGCTTTCTTCAACTCCAAACTGCATTACCTATTCTTTCTATTTGTCTTGTGCAGCTAGTGAATGTACAAGAGCTTGACACTAAACTGCACCTAACTTTGGCAGCTTTTCAGTCTGAAGTCAACCTCTTTAAATCAAGAGAGCAATGATGGTTACTACTTTGGTAGCTTAGGGTGGTAGAAGTAGTATGTTGCTGTCTCAGTTCCACTGGATGGAAAGTGCTGTCTCTTAGCTTGAGAGGTTGGTAATTGTTCCCCTCTTGCCTCAAAGATCTGTTGTTTCAATCTTAATCATCTTCACATCTTCATCTTAGAGCTGCTGTGAGGTAGAGAATAGTGGCTGTTCTCACAGGAATGTAAAGTGGGAGATACCTGAACAGCTCATTAAGTTGCAGAATTGGCTAGACCTGTTGTATGGTACCTTAGCCTTGAGAATGCCCTGTTGGTGTTTCTACTGCTATATCCTTGTCCTGAAGCAATTTAATGTGTCACAGCAATACTGAATCTAATCTGCTCTGACTACCCATGGCCAGGTGGGCTTGGCTAGTGTGGCTGAAGCTAGTAGCTGCTCTCCAACCTGTGATTTGCATGGTAGTGACAGTCTTCCCCAGTCAGTGGGCGGAATGCTGTGGCTGCTGTCTGGGTGGCTGGCTGAAGAAGTTGGCTAGCTAAATCTGCCTGCACTCAAACTGTAAAATTCCTGTCCCCCCCTCCTCAGGGAAGAGGGACAGTGCTTACAGGGCACATACCCTCAGCTCTTGCTGGAGCAGCTGAGATGGACTGAGCTTTTTTAAAAAATACCAGAAAAAGCTCATTCTCAGCCTTTATTAAAGGCTGAAAATGAGACCTGCGTGCAATGGTCTGAAAATGTGAGGCACAGGCCTTACAAGGAGCAGTGTAACATTACACTGCCAGTCAGATTTGAGTGTTGTACACTGCAGAGCTCTTTTAGGGGTTGAGGAGGATGTCAAGCTTCCCCTGGGTTTCACTCAGAATTTGAACCTGCAAGGACTTTACTCTAGGGTGAGTCTAGTAGGATCTGCTCTTGCTGTTTTCCAGAGGTCAAAGTCGGCCTGCTGCTTTCTGATCACTGGGAATCCAGTGCTTCACTAAATTCCCCCCCCCCACCTCCTCTTGTGCAGTTCTGGGTACCTCAGGGCACTGTGGACCCCAGTTCAGGGTATGGCAGCGGTCAGTAAGCTGCAAACAGACTCTCCACAGATCTGAAGTAGGACAAGTTGAACTGCATGTGGCAGACTGTTAGAAACCAGTGCTGTCTCAGAGCTCAAGTACTGAGAGCTGGTTCAGGAGCTTCCTGAGCATCAGTGGGAAAAGCATACTTGGCTGTTTGCTCTGAGGGATGGTAGGAGCTGCTGAACATCCTTTCCCACCTGAACATGGGTGGGAGAGGATGAATGAGTACTCCCACTCTTAGCCGTCTCTGTCCTTTTCATGTGTGCTGTGTCCTGCTGGATGACTATGGCACTTTTTTAACCAGGATTCTCAGAGCACTTAAGCATTTTGCCTTCGCTCATCATAACAGGACTGTATTCAGAGGAAACAAAGGCACCAAAAAGTTAGTGGCTTATTCAGAGCTCGAGTATCTACCAGGGAAGAGGCCTGAAATGCACACTACTGCCTTCTGTCCTTGCAAGCTCAACTTGTTCTGTGTAACTTTGCCCTGCTGCTTGCCTTCCTGAATAGCTCGGTCTTATGACTGAATTTGTACAAAGACGTTGTATGGTGCCAGGGTTAGCTTCTCATTACAGCTCAGTGTGGCAAGCCAAACAGAAAGGCAATAGCTGAATAATCAGCATTGGGCACTATCTACTGCAGGAGAGAATGCTGTCCTGTTGAGGAGGACAAACAGATCAAATGTCAGGATGTCTGGCTTCTTCCAACAGTACTGGTCCGGGAAGAAAGCAAAATTGTATGGGCAACTCGGCTAAACTAGCTTAACCAGCTATGCAGGGCACAGCTTCCTTTCCCACTCCTGAGCAGTCAGTGACCCTTAGAGCACACTGCTCTGGGGATCTGACTGGCCACTGTATTAAAGCATGTGCAGTATAAGATATAGAGAAATGAGTGGACTCAGGTCACCTCACCAGAGAGAACTGGCAATGAATAGCCAGAACTACTGAGATAGTGCTGTTTAGGGTCAAATGCTCACAAGTCTTCAAGTTTTCAAATATGAAGCTTGTGCAAGTCTTCCATGCCAGTGTTTGAGTGCAAGTTTGGGGCTGCCACCTGGTTGTGGGCAGATGAGGAAAGGGCCTGACAAATCTGATCTGCCTTGGGGTAGATTCCACCCCCCCTACCATGAGAATATGCTCTACCTTTTGAGAGGGATGATTGCCTCCTTGGGACCACCTTCTGTATTTGGGACCTTACATCCTCCCAAGTGTTCCCTCAGCAGTGCCCACCTGAGTGTACTGAGCAGTCTATACCAGTGCAGAAATTTCTGCCAGCATTGCAGCTGAGCTGTGTAACTCCTGTCCTAGAAAAGGCCAGTTGCACTGCTGTGGTACATGCCAGGCTTGCCAGTGCTAGTCAGACGGGTGCTCAGTGTGAAGTGGCACTGACTTTGGTCAGTGCAGCAGGGCATGTGGCAAGTGGTGCCTCTGTGGCCACTCTCTTCTAGAAAACTCCCTACCCTCCAACCAGACCTTTTACAGCAGCAGGAGACACAGATGGGCAGGCAGGGATGGTCTGAGGTGCCAGCTCATGCTGCTGGATGCAGACAAGCAAGCACTCCATGTGCTCCCAGAACGGTGGCTTGCACAAAACAGATGTGTTCCAGGCTGAACCAGTCATCTTGCTCAGTAATTGTATCTGATATAACACAGATCAGCTAGGGCCAGATTTCTACCTGTTGCTTGTGTCAAGATCATAACATTGCACAGTACAGCAGCCCGGATCTGACTGTAAAAAGTAACTTTATTCAAGGGCTATTTCTGTTTGGGTGGTGTTGCAGTGATGGGAGGGGGCAGTGGGTTTTTCTGGGGTGCTGTTGTGATGAAAATCGTGGCTGGAGGCACTCCCAGACTCATCACAGGAGCTTAAGTCCCTTCTTGTGAACACTCATCCACACATCAGCTTGAGACCCCTTTCAGGGATTGAGTGCCTACCATAATGCATGGGGGAACACATGCTTTCCCCTCAGCTCCCCTCAAGCATAAGCCCCCCAGAACACATGCTAGGATAAAGGTAGGTACCTAGGTTGTACAGTGAGCCTGAAAGGCCTCCAGGCCATTGCAGAGGTGAGGCAGGCAGTCTGGTGCTTGGCCCCCGGCTGAAAGGGAGGTGGCAGCAGGCTGGGAGCTGCAGGTGTATTTAACAGCCATTAGCAGCTGTGTGCAGTTCCTCACTGCTCTCTGACTGACTGAGCTCTCCTCTGTCTCCTCAGTGTATGTCGTGGAGGAGCGGCGGAGGGACAACACGGGTGAGAGTGCCTGCCTGACAGCGTGTTGGACTGCGCTGTGCTGCTGCTGCCTCTGGGACATGCTGACTTGACTGCTGAAGCCACCTCTCATACCTCTCAGTGCTATGCAGTCTCCTGACTTCTATCCTGACTTCTTTCTGTTACTGTAATCAATGCTCTGCTTTGCACAGCCAAGAGTTCCTGTCTGTAAGCCCTAGCACTGTGGGGTAGTGCACTCCTTTATTTCAGTAAAGGAAATCCCTTTTTAACATTTCTAAGACTTTTGTTGTAACTTTGAAGAGTGTGCTAATGGTATATTTTGGCCAAAGGCATTCTGATAAAAACATGTATTTATCAGTTGAAATTTTCCTAGTCCTAGAAATGAAGATATATATGCAATAATTAAAGCCAACAGTTGATTTTCTTTGCTAGGTCCTGATTGTTTCAATAAATCTGTCCAACAGAGGGTGTGCTTTCCCTGTTGCTGTCTCTTCTCAGTTTCCTGCATATGTCAGCACAGCAATGATGGAATTGGCTTTGAGCAGTTTTGCTGTAGGAACTTGTGCCTGTTCCTGGGGCCTGGGTGGGAGATGTCTGGCACTGTTGTTACCCGCATCTGTGGGC